AGGAAGTCTGTTTTTGCTCAGTGCTTTTAGGTCAATCCCATATATAGGAAGATTGGAAATAATGTCATTCTCTTTTAACGACTGACTTTAATTTGTTTGTTAAAAAAAAAAGACTGGGAGCCAGGTGTGAGGGTACATGCTTGTAATCCCAGCACTGGAGAGGCTGAGGCAGGAGGATCACCAGTGCAAAGTCATCCTGGGCTATATAGTAAGTCTCTACCTCAAAACAAAACAAATGAACAACCACAAAAACCACAGGGATAATTCACCAGTTGAGATTGTATATTTTTCACATCTACAATCATTCCTCCACTACACAAAAGAAATGCAATGTGTAGAAAATTAACAGAGTAAACCATGACTTACTTATATACTTTTATCCTCTAAGAAATAGTGAAGTTATTATGGAGTAAAAGAAAGTCAGTTAAAGAAAAAGTCATGAACAAAGATGTTCATTGATGTATATTTGGTCTTTTGTTTAAATTTTGTTTTGATGTATATTTTGTAATAGGGAAAAGCTGGAAATAATTGCTATCAATAGTTTGCTAAGCAAACTAATGCATTTAAGCCACAGAAAGTAATAAGACAGTTAAGAAGAATGAGATATACTCTTGAGAGAACCTGCTGACAGAAAAAGAAGGCAAATTATGTAACATATCCAGTATGATCTCATGTATGTTTAAAGAATTAAATAAATCTTCAGCTCTGACATAGTACCAATTCATAGAAAAAGACCTGGAAAGAGTGAAATGGCTAGCAAGGTTATTTCTGAGAATAAAGTAGCCTTGGTGGGGTATAGTGTGATGAGTACGCTTCACTTTTTACTCTGAGCTTCTGCGTTTGGGCATTTTATAGAAACATAGTCATGATTTCCTTTTGTAATTATAAAATTCAGAATTACTGGAGAGGAAAAGATGGATGACAGAGAGAGATTGGAGCAAATCCCCTGTAGGATTGGAGGTCAGGAGAAGGAACGTGAAGCATTTTAGGTTGTGAGCTCAGGCAGTTAATGTAGTCACCTTCTCCTGTGATGTTCTGTGGATGGTGATTTGGGGTTTGTGCAATGTTTTCAGTAGATATGTCATATGCATCTATATGTCCTCCCCTGCATCACTCCAAAGGTGTGACCTAGAGTACAAGGTCCCCAAATCAAGAAAATCCAAAGACTTTTAAGAACAATTTTCACATGTAGCTTGTTTTGGTGTATTTGAATTTACATCTTATCAGTGTAAGCATTGGATGGGAAAAAATTCCTGTTTTTAAGAAACACAGATTCACTTCTATCTGCATATGAACAGTTCTGCCCCACCATTTGAACAGTTGTATCTACCACAAAAGTTTTTTCTCTGTCTCTTGACAGAGAAACCTACCCACTTTGTTGGGTAGGTTCATTAGGTCCGTAAACATTTACTGAACTTCGCCCACCACATGACCCGATGTATGAGGGGTGGAACTAGCAGAGAACAGACAAGGCCTTTGCTCTCGTAGAGTTTATAGTCAGGCCAAGTGGGAGCGAGGGTGGGAAGATTAACAGGAAGGAGCTAAAAAATAACCAGGAAGTGAGCACGTCTGTGATGAAAACGACACAGGATGATGTGATGGGGAAAATGAGGGAACTGTCTTTAGAGAGGTAGTTAGGAAAGATTTCTTTGAGGAAGTAATTTGGAAGGCAAGTGAAGCATAACAACAGAGAGCGAGATGTGTGTTCATTTGTGGGCAGAGCATTTCGGACAGAAGAGCTCAGAATTGTACCCCTATAGAAGGAAAATGCTCATAGGGTTCAAGAGTTTGCTGTGCGGTTGGGACTTACGGAGGCTGGGTGAAGATGAGTGAGAGAGGTCTCTAGGGACAGAATCACATCAAGCCTTAAGGATAAGGTAAGGAGTGTGAATTTTATTCCAAATTTGATGGGAAGCCATTGGGGGATTTTGACTAGGGGGATAGCATGCCAATTGTGTGGATGGGCAAGAGTAGAAGCAGGGAAGGCCTCTGGAAGCTATGCTGGATGTGCAGAGGGAAGAGGAAAGTGACTTGGGCTAAGGTGGGAGCTATAGTTGTGAACTTGCTGATGGATGATAGATGGAGAGCTGGGGAAGAATAGGATCAGAAATGGTTCCTAAATTTAGGATTGAGCAATTGAGAAATGTGTTTCCTGGGACGTGAAAAGTAGGGAAGAACAGATTTGGGGGGAAATCAGTATCTGAGGCATATCAGATTTAGACACCTATTGGACAAATGCCAAGTAGGCAGGAAGAACTGTTACCTTGGAGTTCAGGGGAGGTCAAGAGTAGATATGTACATGTATGTGGCAGTCATCTATACACAGCGATGGAATTTAGAGCCTTGGAATTGACTCCATGGTCTTACGTTCACTGCTGCGTCTGTGTGATGTTTAATCTTGATTGTCAACTTGGTCGGATAGAGAGATTCCCTAGGAGTTTAGTAATACAAACCTCTGGGTGTGTCTCTGATGGCATTTCCAAAGATGATTACACAGGGCCTCTGACCTAATCATGGTTTAATCCAATGATGGATTCAAAATTTGAATAGACTATTGGGAGATGGTAGAAACTACAGAAGGTAGGGCCTGGTGGGAGGTAGAAAGTCATGGAGGCGAGTCTTTGAAGGGCATACCTTGCCCTGGCCTCTTCCTGTCTTTTCTTTGTTTCCTGGCCACCATGAGGTGTGGCAGCCCCTACCACAAGCTCCTACTACCGGGTACAGAAAGACGAGCCCCAAGGACTGAGCCCTTTGAAATCTGAGCCAAAGTAAATCCTTCCTCCCTTAAGCTGCTTTTCTCAGGAATTTGGTCACAGTGATGTAAAGTTAACTTTACATCGTGCTATGCCACCTTCATTTGGGCTGAACTTGTCTGGACAGATGCTGTTCCTGGAATGGTAGTGACAGGAGTGCTTCTCATTGATACAACTGTAGATATTTTAATCATCACATCATTTACTAAAGCTAAAACCCCAGCTTCAAAGTGAGTGTGCCATTTTAAAGATGGATTCTAGGTTCACAGAGTCTTCTTTAAATATTATAAACTAATGATATGCTTCTATTATTATCAAATAAATGTTAAAAGTAATAGAAGTTACATGAAACAAAGCTTTTAGTGTATTGATTGTTCTCCACAGGTTTATACGCCACTTGCCTACTTTGTTTAAATAGTAGGAGGAACTAAAAATAAGAAAATGTGTCTTTACTTTCAGATGGCATTCCCCTTTTGGATTTGGTATATAATTTATTGGAATTAATTTTATATATAGATGTACATGTTTGGTTGATCTTTGTAGCTTCTTCAATTATTTTTATGCTTTGTAAAAATGTTTCCTATGCCAATGGCAAGTCCTCTAGGTTTGTTGCTGCTTTTTTGGGTGATTTATTTTCTTCTAAGTACAAGTTGAATTTACTGTGTTGTATAGAGTAAAGTACAAACTTTATACATGTATGTATAGATAGATAGATAGACAGACAGATAGACAGATAGATAGATATAGCCTCCTCACAGTAATTTGAAATGAAAATATATGATTGAACCTGTATTTATCTTGAGTGATTCTTGCTCACTGTAGGTAAGCTCTTCAGACCTCCAAGTGGTCCTGTGGTGAGTTCAAGGACCTTGTCAGGTGCTACGTCAGCTTCAAAGAACTTGTCCTGTTTTGAGTTGATCATAGCAGCTCCAAGCCTGGAAGGATGGTGTCACCGTCTATGGGCCGGCAAGACTCTCCTGTGGTCCTCTGGGAAGGGATCAGCCATGACTCTGGAGACACTGAAGGTTCACCCATCTTCCTGGACACTGATCACTCTCCTTCCCAATTAGACATCAGGCTCAGGAGGAACAAAGCTGCGTGGATTAACTCCTCCTGTGTACAGCAACCACTGCAGGATTTGCCCTCAGAAGTGCAGGATGCTGGGAATCATCGTGAGGTGGATGCACAGTTGTCCTCTGGGAACCCTCTGGCAGAGATGCCATTGTCTGAGGATGGTGTGGACTCTGTGAGCAGCGCCTCTGCCCAGAGCTCAGGTGAAAAGAGTAGAGGCTTCTTGATCTCCACGGAAGAGCAGGTGGCATCCCCAGGACATTCTCAGCAGCTGTCTTTGCTCACAAGCCCATCTCCTGAGGTTGGCAGCACTTGTTCTGAGTTTTTCCACTTGACAACTTCTGCTGACAGAGGTAACTTTAGTTGGTGACTTCCCTCATTCCTGTCTGTCCACATGCTTGCTTGGTCTGCCTCTAAAGTCTGTCTCTTGTCTTTCCCATGAGAAAGAAGTTCCTTTACTTCCACTTTGACCAGAAGCCAGTGCACGGGTTCATTTCATGTCGCCAGCAGATGGTGTCTGCCTTCTAGAACTTAACAGCTCATTACCTTGTCTGCATCAGACGCACTCTCAGCCCAACGTGGGTGAGAGAAGGCAGCTCTGTCTCACACCAGTGCTCACATAGGCAATGAACTCAGCTCACCTGTTCTATTTACCTGTATAGACAATGATGAGAAAATAGTAAGATTGAAAAACAATAACCACAATTCCTCCCTGTTTGTCTTAAAACAAGAGCTGTCATTGCTATGAAGTAGTGTACATATTCCTGAAATCCTAAAATTCCTAAAATGAAATGATCTATGCAAAGTGCCACACAAGAGTCAATTGGTTAGCACGGTTGTTCGTGGCATGTTTATTTTCAAACATTCATTGTGTTATATTCATGCTTTGCATTATTTAGACCCTAGGGCAAATAGTCAATCATTTTTTAAAGAATTTTAAAAGCTGTCTACCTGCTGCTGTCTGCCTGTGTGTCTATTTATATATTTCTCACCAGGAGGAACCTGTGTTCTTCCTTACTCATATATGATGTTTACAGCTGGGCGCTGGTGACTCACATCTGTAATCCTAGCTACTTCAGAGACTGAGATCTGCAGGGGGAAGAGCGGGTGGCGAAATGACCCAAACAATGTATGCACATGTGAATAAGTGAACAACAACAATAAAAAGAGACTGAGATCAGGAGGAGAGCGGTTCAAGGCCAGCCCAGCAAATAGTTTGTGAGACCCTATCTCCAAATAGTAACCAGAGCAAAATGGGCTGAATGTGTGGCTCAAGCAGTAGAGCACCTGCTTTGCAAGTGCAAAGCCCTGAGTTCAAACCCCAGTGCACCAAAAAAAAAAAAGCATTTATTGGGAAATATTTGAAAAATCAAAGATGATACATTATCCATAGGCTAAGAATAGCAGATTTGGGACCATCTTTCAATGGCTAATTTTAAGATAACAATCAAATTTGGATAAAATGACTCTCATTGCAGGCTTTTTTTTTTTTAAAGCTTTTGCTCAGCTGCCTGGGTAGTTCTGAGGGTAAAGAGTGGCTGTAAGATTTAGTGGTTTCTAAGTAAGAGATTAGTCTGCTGTTAAATTGTCTCATGGACACAAGCTGCCCCTACCCCCTGCTGCCAGCCCTCAACTGTCACTGACTGAAGATGATCTTTGGAGCCTAGTATACCCCTGCACCTAACCATTTGTTGTATTCCAGTAAAAGCAGTTCTGCAACTTAGAATTATCCTGTATCTTTGTGTTTCTCCCAGAAAAACAAAAACAAACAACAAAAACCAGGTGTTGCAACTCCCAACTCCTTTTGACCAAAGACAGGGATCCCAGCATCCTTCTCAGTGCCTTTAAAACCCCCTAGTATTTCAAGAATCTCTGTCACATTGGGGAAGGGGATTCATTCCATGGGATTAAGAAAGAGAAGCCCTGAGTGTCATCTAGTTCTTTCTTTACCTTTGGGGCAACAGGGGAGAACAGGCATTGGCTACAAAAACATGGGTGTCAGGACACAACTGGTGAATGAAGAGCTGGGATTGGAATCCACTCTGACCCTTCTTTCTGTTGTTTTCTCTGTTCTCTCGGTCTGTACCTGTGACCTACCTGTTGGCCAAAATCCTGCCAGCTTCCAGTCTTCATGAAAAAACAAGGACAAACCTTTTCTTTGTCAACAGCGGCTTTCTCACAACAGAGGCAGAGTGGAGTAAGTTGGCACAGATAGAGAGTATGGCCCCAATTCCTACAATATTCACTACCTAGACCTTTACCAAAAAGTTCACCAATTCTAGCCAAGAGCTTCTAATTTTTCTATGCTTGAATCTGAGTGACCCTTTTTGTCATCTTGGGAGATCATGATCACCAGGACATTTGCAGCAGCATTTTGTTCTAATTAAGTGGGGCAACTCGGTCAGTTCTTGTGGCTGTCTCAGAAACTTTTGCTTCCAAAGTTGCAGTAAGAAGTCACAAGACTGGAAGAGAGCTTGTTTTGATGGTGGTCATTGCCGGTAATGGAGCAGCTGAGGGTGCAAGAATGGATGACTCAGCAGAATATACCTTCTGCAGTTTCTTCTTGGTTTGAATTGGAGGAAGATGACTTTAGAGAAGCAGCACTGACTTTTTCTCAGATGATTTTGTGTATGTACGTAACAGGAAGTGTGGAGTCAATTGTGATGAGATGGCCCTGCTTCTGGACTGTTCCTTCTCTCCTTCCCCGTCTCCTGTGGGTATTTCCCATTACCCTCTCCTCTTTCTATCCTCTTTGATTTCTACACCAGTGGTTCTCTGAGCATCTCTCCCAGTTACTCCATTAGCTTCCCAAGATAGGGCTTTAGCTACAAGACCTGCCATCAGAAGGATCTTCTGTCACGCTAGTTTATTCTAGAATTTGGAATTGGGTTAGATTTTCTTTATAAACAGTATTTGAAAGCTGTGTCCTAGAACATTTTGCTTGTTTTCTGGGTTTTTTTTTTTTTGGTGGTACTGGAGGTTTGAACTCAGAACCTCGCACCCTTACTAGGCCAGCACTCTACCAAGCTGAGCCACTCTGACAGCCCTTTTTGCATTGGCTATTTTTTGAGATAAGGTATTGCTCTATGCCTGGACCACCTGGATTGTGATTCACCTATTTTTGCTTCCCTGCTGTGATGACAGGTGCACCTGGCTATTTGTTGAGATGGGGTCTCATGTACATTTTGCCCAGGCTGGCCTCAAAACTTGATCCTCCCAATCTCTACCTCCCAAATAGTTAGGATTATAAACTTGAGCCACCATGCTTGGCCTGTTTTACTTTCTTATGTAAACTTTGAACTTCCCTTCCTTCATTTTTAATAGCTGTCTACACTGACAGGTGCTGTTCCCAGAAGACCCATTTCTTCTAATTCCTTGTCACCGGAGACGTTTGTGGTGCCCGTCGACATAGAAAAGGTGAATGCAATCCTCTTTTTTATCAACATCAAGAGTCTTAATCTCTTAGGTAGCAGTGTTCTGATCAAATCTGGAAACTTCACCCTGATGAGGCTAGCAAATAGGTTTTATTTCTGTGTTGATGGAGTCTGCCAGGAGCACTGAGCTGAGGTGGTTTCCCTGGTAGTGTCTGCTCAGCTAGTAAGATTCCATGACTGATAAATCATGTCAGCTACTGGGCCACCACCAACTGAGGGCTTCCTGTCATGAGAAGTTCAACTTGCTGACCATTGACTACAGTGGGATAAACCCATGACTTTCAATGATATGGGTTATAAGTTACAAATGACTTGTAATAACCCAGTTAAATCAATACCGATATATCTATCTGCATTAGTTTCACTTAAATGGGGTTTTTTAAAAAAGCTGATATTCTTGTATTTTAATTGACTTTTTTCTTGCAGGAAAATGCCCACTTTCATGTTGCAGATATGATTATATCAGCAATGGAGAAAATGAAGTGGACCATCCTCAGTCAAAAGCAGACAGAGAGCTGGAGCCTAGAAGAAGCAAGCAGGTCCTTTGGGACTGATCAAGCTGGCTCCGAAGTGACCTTTTATCCTCCCACACAGCAAGACCTGGGGTCCTCTACTTCTTCAGACAGTGGTTCTGAAGGCAAGTTGGGCAAGTGCTTCTCACACATCTTCCCTCCTCTGTCAAGTCCTGATGCACGGACTTCTTTCAATCCTCTGTCTAAAACTCTTGAGTAACCTGTGTAATCCTCACCATGGGGGCCATTTTGCCTTGGAATTGGTTATCATGCTCCAGCCATGCTGTGTTTCCTTTTGTTTTTTAACTTGGACTTCTTCATTTTACATTTCTTTTTTCCCAGTAGCTGATGTCTTCTGTCTTCCTTTGTTTTTTGTTACACAGTGTTCCTCCTTCTACCTTCTTTTCTTTTCCAAGAAATCTTTCATTCATTCAGCAAGCAATGATTCTGCCATGTGCTGGGAAATGAGTAGTACACAGAATGCACTCCTTCCCTCAAGCAGCAGAGGCAAGGACCCAGCACCGGAGCTGGGGGGTGTCACTCAGTAGGAGTGGTTTCCCTTATTTGGGAACCCAGGAAGCTCTTCCTGGAGGAAAGGGTACCTAAGCTGCCAACTGATGTTAGTGTTTGCTACTTTCTAACCATTTCCTAAATGTAAGTCCTAGCTTCAGTGCCCCCCCGCTTTTTTCCTCTACATTAGCTTTATGGCAGAATTGATCCATTGTACACCTTCAGTTATTCATTCTCTCTCTGTTGATACCTCCCCAATCAGCATTTTCAGCTCTGGCTCTCTCTTCCGAGTGTTTTGTTCTTAGTGTCTAAGACCTGTCATACTTATCCACCTGCTTAGTTAGTTCCCGGGTCCTCTAGCTTGACACTTGATTTCCAGGGGACTTAAAATGTACTTCCTTTTCTCCATTGCTGATACAATCATCTCTGCAACATAAAAGTGGTTGTACTTAACTTCTAATTAACACTTTGCATTCATCTAAGACTCCTTCATGAAGGGAGAGAGAGAAAAAAGGAAGGAGGGAAGGAAGGAAGGAAGGAAGGGAGGAAGGAAGAAAGGGAGGAAGGAAGAAAGGGAGGAAGGAAGGAAGGAAAGTAAGACTGTTTTTCCATCTTTCTATCTGTGAGGTGATGGAAACAAGTCCATGTTCAAAGGTTCTAGGTGGACAAGAATTTTTGGAGAAACTACTTAACCCAGTAGAATATTAACATTTCCTGTACTGTTTGCCTCCCTGCAAAGCAGAGGAAATTCTCAAACATACCTAAAAGTAGGCAGAAAACCATTATGAGCCCCCCCAAATCCTCATCCGTCTATTTCACTTAATTATAATGACTGTAGGAAGAAGACAAAATTAGCTTCCTGCATTTTTAAAGCTGAATTTTATAATTCTTTTGAAATAATCTCTTAGCTTTTTCACCACCCCCCAACCCCAATTTCTGTTTAGCTGGGTGTTGCTGGTTATAGTTTTCCTTTTTCTTCTCAATGGTGAAATCCCGGTTCTTTCCTTTTCTAGGTTGTGCTGTGCTGCAGGGCAGCCCAGTGACTGAGACATCGCCTTACTCTAAGGTGGTGAAGGAGGACTGCAAGTGTGATTTTGGTGACTTTGTTATTTTAGGTAAGATTTGGATCACATTGGAAATGACCAGCTGCCCCCCCACTCCCTCTATCCACACATCCTAATGTGCATCGTGCACAAAACTGTACAATAGTGGTATTTGAAGAAACTTTTCCCAAGATCAGATTATTTCCCTGCCACTAAAAGTGTTTTCTTGTTTCAAATGTCTTGAGAGCTAATCTTATACCTCACTTTTAGAATTGAATGAAAAAGCAGATACTCATTATGATCTGATATCTGTATGGTCTCTCAGTTATATTTTGATGAAATTCTAGATGAAATTCCATCTTCCGTGGTTCTTTGAGTCTCATAATATGTTAGTAGCTAATTAGTGGATTCCCTGAATGCAGCCTTTCAAAAGAACCTGAAGCACAGAGATGCTGAATAGCTGGTTCTTTCTGAGGTGCAGGGAGGTATTTTTGTGTTCGTATAACATTGACTATGTCTGAATGAAACAGACCAAAAGACTCACCACCCTTTCTTTCATTTTTCCACAGAACTTGGGGAGTTGAATGAGGTCACAGAAACCTGTAGATGCTGCTATAGCCCTTCTAAGAGGTATCTTTCTGCCATGTGCATTGCACATAGACCCCTGGAGAGCTTACCCTGGAGAGGCACTGTGAACACAAGTCCTTTGACACCTTGGGCCAGGTTTATAGCCAGTTCTAACAGTGAGGATTACCTCCTTGAATCAATCAATCATCCCTGTATCAGCAGCTTCATATTACTGTAACAAAATACCCCAAACAACAAACTTATAAAGAGAAAATGTTTATTTAGTTCACAGTTTTGGAAATTCAAAAGCATAGTGTCTCCACTAGCTTAATTCTGGTGAGGGCAGTGGCTGGTGACACATCATGGCAGGAGTGTCAGATGGAGTGTTCATTCCTCAAGCTAGGAAGCAGAAAGAGAAAGAACAGATGGGGTCCCACCATCTCTTTTGAGCAATTCCCTCCCCCAGTGACCTAAGGACCTGCCACTGGGCCCAACCTCTCAAGATTCCACCACTTCCTTGGGGACCAAGCCCTTAACATCTGAACTGTTAGGAGATACTCATACTCAAGCCATAGCACGCCAAAGTTACTATTTTCATAGTACATAAAAGGCTTTTGTATGCATTCTTACTTAATACCGATGGATAGACTGGACAAGTTTCATGTATGTTTTTATTTTTAAATCCCATTTTATAGCTATAGAAACTAAGCCTTATACAGGATGTGCCTCCGGTCACAATGCAGTTAAACAGTAGCAGGTCTTCTGACTCTAAATCCAGTGCTCTTTTCTCCACACCTTTTAGTCTTAGCACCCGGAATAACGAAAGAGGCTCTATTTACTGAGCATGGATGGACGGCGGTGCGTAACACACACAGTCCATGATGGGTACATGGTCTCACACCACAGCCTCCTGACACATTGGGGAGTGTAAGGAGCAGTTGGAAAATTGGGGAAGACCCTGAACTCACTCCTCATGCACATGGTTTTCCAACTTTGCATCTCTTGTGTTTCAGTGTTACTCATGAGCCAGACTTCAATTCTGCTGAGGTGTTAGCCCGAGAGTTGTTGCAGGTCTTCCAGAAGTGCTGGGTGTTAGCTAATGTTCAACTGCCAGGTTCCTTGATGGCAGCCAGCTCGCTAGTAAGTATGAAAAGAAATTGACTTTGAATTAACAGTTCTTGAACTCTTATTTCACTTCACTTCAAATATTAATGTTTCTTGAATGGTCTCTGGGGAAGACTCAAAATGAATGAGGAGGCCAGCATGGATTAGTGCTTAGTATGCCATGAACCGTGTTTACCAACCTCTAGTTAATGCTCATAAGTAACCTGTTTAGTAGATGATCTCATTACTATTATTCTAAAGGGATGAGCAGAGACCTCAGCCCATTAATGGTGGAGCAGGGTGAATAATGCATTATGTATGTATCTCTGTGTGTGTGTGTGTGTGTGTTCATCTTGCTGGGAATAAGCCTTGAGAGATATGGCTGAATTGTGGAGGGCACAGGACAGATTTGAGAAGTCTGGAGAATAGGAAAGTGTAATGGTCCAGGGCCGAGCCACTTACCAATCATAAGCTGGGGCACTTCTTCACAGAGCTGATAGGACCACAACAGGGTCTGACAAGTGGCAACTATGAGACTGTTCACTTAGGAGTAGAGGTTCCTGCTGTTCCTGAAGTACTCCAGGCTGAAAGGACTTATTTGCACTAAGACCAAAGTCTGGAAAGAAATGAATTAAAAATACTAAGAAAAGTGATCCCAACCAGTGCTGGAAGGACCTCACCAAGTCCTTTAGTTGGGTTGAAAGCGGTTTCAATTTCTCATGGTAACTTTTAATGTAGGAAAGCATTTGAATGCCTTTTTTTTAATCTCTTGAAATATATTTCCTTCGGTTGTCCCTAAATCCTCTTATGTGTCACACAGGTTGTGAATGAAGAGCATATCCAAAAAGACTTTAACTCCACGACAGAGTCAATACAGGAAATTCCGTTCAAGTCTAGGATCAGAGGGGCTGAAGACTGGGTCCCCCCTAGATTTCAAATCATATTTAATGTTCATCCACCACTCAAGTAAGTGCGGGATGCTGCCTGACCCCAGTCCACTTCAGACAGTTTGTGAGGGACCCCACTGGATTTGTTATGGATATAGGAGGGGGAAAATAATATGGGTTGAGGGACACAGGAACATTTGTTTTAGGAAAGGAAAGTTAGGCACATTTTTCTGGCATGGCTTTCTTCGCACCTTATTTATCATGGGCTTTTAGGAGCTCTGTAAGTTTTGACAAGTTGAGAATGTGACTGTGTATTCCTAATTAGGAATATTACACAGCAAATGAAAATTAAATAGGTTTAAAGGGAATTTTTAAGTAGCTAATATCAAAACTTAAAAATCAAATACAGTAATTTAAAAAGATTAGACCATTCCATTTTCCAGTGTAGTTAGTAGGTTAATAAAACTGAATAAATTTAAAAAGAAAATTTAATCTTGAGGAGAGCCCCTTCAGTTTCAGAACTAGAATGTAAATTAAAATATCTTTATTCCTAAGAAGTGACAAAGTCCTAAAAGACAAAATGACTAAAACGATGTAAAAAAGGAAATGAATCTATATATACTTACGTGTACAACCTATGTAGTAGTTTATAATTTGTTCTGAGAGCATATTACAGATTATAAACAAAGACTGTAGGCAAACCATTTTTTTTTTTTGTGTGTGTATTTATGGTGGAACTCGGGATTGAACTCAGGCCTCAAATATGCTAGGCAAAGGCATTTGAGTCACACCCTTAACCCTTTGTTTTGTATTTTGTTATTGAGATAGGGTCTCCTAACTTTGCCTGGGATGGTCTCAAGATCCTCCTGCCTCTGAGTAGCTGGAATTACAAGTGCATACCACCACATCTGGCTTAGGCAAACATTTTAAACAGTTTTTCCATTTGTCTTGGTTCGTATGCAGTTTGGCATGCAAACTTCAAAGAGTTGTGAAGAGACCGACATGGGTTGTGAACTGTGCCCTGCGGAAGTGCCTTTAGATGGTATCTCTTTCAAGCATCATTCTTTTCTTGAGAGGATGCCAAGAAGATCTTTGGGGCTGGTTGGGCAGAAGAGCTCACTCTAAGGCATTGTGACAGGTCGCTTTCCTTAGCACAGGATATCTTTTCTCTATGGTTTCTTTAAATCCTGTCTAAGGAACAAGGGACAGAGATTTAGCATACATATATATATATGTGTATATATATATATATAT